CAGCCATTTAAATTTAAATGAAGCCGCGATTATTTTAATCGCGGCTTCATTTCCCTTTTCCGATCTGGCTAATCTACATGCCTCCGTCGAAGGAGGCATGTAGTCTAGACACACCCTTGGTTTGTGAGGGAAGGGGGGAAGAAGAGGCACCTCTCTCGGCCAACGCAGCTCTGGGACTGGGGGACAGAATAAGCACCTGGCCTCTGGATCCGGCATGTCTGGGCTGAGGCTGGGTTGAAGCTTGGGAAGGGACACTGCAGCAGGTCCGGGCTCCACAGTAGCTCAAGGTGTCATGGCAGGTCTAGGCCATAGCAGAGCTGGTTTGGGAGAGGAGCACCTGTCCATGGCAGGTCCAGGTCAGGGTTCGAGCCAACCTTTCCCCAACTGCGGCAGATCCACGAACAGATTCCCTGAGCACCTGTGTGGTGCTAAACTGGCTAGTCCACACAGCTTGCATGGAATTTAGACAAGCGATATCTTAGGAGGGGAACTATGGATACTTTTGCTTACCAAAGCAATCTACTTACCAAAAGTAGCCAAGACTGAAGCACAGCACCACGGTGCAGCTCATGACACGAAAAATGCGCCTTGTAAAATAGTCTTTGACCCATCCTCTTTTCCCTGGAATAAAGGAGACGTGCATGAGACTGGTCCTTTCTGTTCAAATCCGCATCAATTGGCGGCCAACCCTTCCTTTAGCCAGGATGTGGGGTAAAGCTAGAGGTGTGGTTACAGCCCATGGCGGCATAGGTGACACGGGGAGGGGGAATGCATGAGGGGTCCCATGCACACACCCCCCAATGCTGTACGCAGGAGGGGCTGACCATCATCCAGAGGGGGAGACAACTGAGGGTGGAACCTGGCACCTGCAGCAGGGATCCATCCCACAATGGGCCCAGCTCCCTGGGCTCTTCCCAACGCCCGGGGGAGGGGCAGGACCAACCCACACTCACTGGCAAGAAGCAGAGCAGCCAGGAGAGCAAAGCAAGTTGTAGCCGTTGCTCCACTTGCCTCAGCACTGCAGGTGAGTGCCGGGGAGGCGAGAGGGGGGCAGGTTTACAGGATCTTTCAAAAAAGCCTGCCGCTTTTGAAAGAACTGCATCTAGACTGTGGTTTTACTTTCGAAATGGCGCTTTTTCGAAAAAGCACCATGACGCGATTATGCAAATGAAGCGCAGGAAATTCAAATCCCCGCTTCATTTGCAATTTCTAAGTGTCTAATTTACATCCCTCTGTCGAAAGAGGGATGTAGTCTAGACACAGCCTTACAGACTAACAAAAATACATAGAATCATGAGCTTTCATGAATTAATCTCTAAGGGTTTGTCTACACTACAGAGAAGATTAAAGCCGCCGCTGTCAATCTTCCAGGGTTTAATTTAATGGGTCTAGTGAAGACACACTAAATCGAACTGAGAGGGATACTCTGGTCAATGCTGGCAGTCCTGTTGCCACAAGGAGTAAGGTAAGTCAAAGGGAGAGTGTTCTCTCCCATCGACTTCCTGCAGTGTGGGCAGCACCAAAATTTGAGTTAAGCTACTTCGACTACAGCTATGCAATTAACATAGCTGAAGTTGGGAACTTAATTAAACTTTATCCCGTAATGTAGACATACCCTAAGATGCTACAGACAGAAGATGTATTTTCTATTTTTGCTGTTCTTTTCATTCCCAGTTTGTGTTTGTGTTTTTTAAAAAAATTGGACTTTTTAATGACCTCTTTCCCCCAAAAGGGCAGTTATTACCATTTAAGGATATGTCTACAGGGCAGTTATTTTGGAATAACTAACATATACACCACACTCCATTATTTCAAAATAATGTCGAGATGGAGGACTTCTTACTCTGACTCCTGTAACCCTCATTTCACGAGGAGTAAGGGAAGCTGAAGGAGGAGTGTTCTTCCTTTGACTTTCTGCTGTGTAGACAGCGCCAAAAGCCAATTTAAGCTACTTTGACTTCAGCGACACAATTGACATAGTTGACGTTGTGTATCTTAATTTTACTTTTGTCCTGCTGTATAGATGTATTGCTGACTAGACCTATTAAAAGTCCAGTCAGTACAATGAACACCACAGAACAAGGTAGGCTCCCTCCTGTCCTGGCTCTCCCAGAAATGGCCACCAGGTCCCTGCGACCTCTAGGCTCAGGGGTGATCGGGGAAGCTCTGGGTACCGCCCTCATGACTGCAGATGCTACCCCTGCAGCTCCTTAGTTGGGAATTGCAACCAATGGGAGCTGCAGGAGCAATGCCTGAAAGCATTGAGTGTTTCCTACAAACTCTGTGTTCTTGGGGAACCAGGGAATAATATCCATGGAAGACATAAAAACCTCCCCCTCTCCTCCTAGCCTCTGACTGAATATAGCAGATTAAAAAAGCAAGGAAAAGGCACCTAAACCCAGCCGGAAAATGGTGGCAGGATTAAGGAAACTCTCTCAGCCTCATTTGCATAGAGGATGGGACAAGGGAGGTATTTCCATTTTCATCCCAGAACTGCACGAACTGGGACACAGCAGGAAAGCATTGCCTGGTGGGATATCTGTTAGCTCTCCGTGCTAATGACTCCACACCCAAATCAATTATCGGATAAGTTTAGTAATAAATTCCCTATTGGTATCCAACATACTGAAATTGCCTAATTGCATAATGAGCTTCTTTGAAGGAACACCGCCCATAGCCAGGAATAATCAGTCCCTATTATCTAGCCTACACAAAACAACTTTGGGATACTCCCTTGAACCATCCATTTACCCATAAACAAGTCTAGTGTTCCTTCTTGAACCATTGTTGTTTCTCTGCAAAAATCCCTACTCATGCTCAAGTAAAATGTTCTGATGCCTGGATCTAAATTCTGCATCAGTTCCATTGGCACTTCATCTTCTCCTGACTGATCCTGCTGGGGGCTCTGCTCTGCTCTGCTCTGCCTGTCTCCAACACTATAGACCCCCAGCTACCATCACCATCTGGGAATCTCGATCAGTTCAAAGTTTCACGGAATGATGAGATCCCTCTCCTCCCCCGCACTGCCCACTGTAGATACATAGTCTCCTGACCCTGCCTTATGTGATCAGTTACGGTTTGCTAGCCCTAACATGTGTAACCAGATTTAAATTAGATTTAATATTGGAACTGTTGCGATTGTTTGGCTCCCCTTGTATGGTCACTCCCTAGAAATAAATAACTTTCATTGTTAAGGTGGCTGCTTCCCTCTCTTTTCCTCTCTCTCCCTCCTCCCTGGAAGTGTTGTTTTGGCTTCCCCCATTGACTTTGCAGTAACGCTCCTTGTACCTAAGCTAAAGGTCCCCATAGCGCCCCCAAACGCTGTGGGGTTTGCTCATCAAGTGGGTTGATAGCAGAATGGTTGTGGTGTGAAAGTGGGGACAGGGAGGTGCTGAACCTGGTGGCATACGAAGGTGGCTGGTTTAATTGCTATTTCAACCTAGCCCACTGAGTCCAAGGGCGCATGAGGGTCACAGCTTGGCACTGCTGTGCTATAAGCCTACTAAGTCCAGGAACATATAAAGGGTCAGTTTTTGAGTGCTGATTAGATCTTGCAAGAGACCTTCATTGGGAGGGAACCGGCAGAAGGGAGAAGTAAAGCTCCACATGAGAACACAACTCCATCCCCCATAAGAGTAACCCTAATAAATGAGCATACCCCAAAGTAATGGGTAAATTTGGTAATATGAGGGCAACACACCGAGTCTTCCTGACCAGCCACCATGAAACTAGGGGCCGCAGAGACCTAGCAACTTCTTTCTCTGAGCCACAGTAAATGCCACCAGGACCCTCATACTCCCAACTTCCTCCTACAAACCAGCCCCCTGCCTGGATTCCTGTGCCACATGCAAACTCTCTCCTAGTACCTGCACACCACACGTACCCCTGCACCCAACTGCCTGCCCCAGCCCAGAGCCCCTTCCTGCACCCTAAACCCTTCACTCCTAGGCCTACCCAGAGCCTACACCCTCAGCTAGAGCCCCCACACCCACCTGCACCCCAATTCTCTATCCCTGCCCAATGAAAGTGACAGAGTGGAGGAGAATACACAATAGAAGGGGCGGGAGGAGGAACATGCAATAGTGGGGCCTCAGAGAAGGGGGAGGGCCTTAGGGAAGGGGTGGAGTAGGGCTGTTTGGTTTTGCAAAATTAGAAAGTTGGCAACCCTAAATTTTAAGTGTGCAAGTGGCAAAAGGAAGGAAAGTTGGTTCCCTCTCATCTCCTCTCCCCTCCCTTTTTTTTTTACCATTCTGGACATACAGCCAAAGTAGTAATAAGATCTGTCTGCAGAATCATATGGTACATCTAGCCTACATGGCTCCCTCGATGGAGCCATGTAGATTAGTTTACTCGACAAAGGGAAATGAAGTGGTGATTTAAATAATCACTGCTTCATTTAAATCAAAATGGCCACCGCGCTGTGCCGATCAGTTGTTCATCGGCACAACGCGGCAGTCTAGGCTGGGATCTGCCGACCCCAGAACACTTTGTCGGCATATCCTGTAAGCCTCGTTTCACCATTGTTCCTTCTTCTGCCATCTGTCACTACTGTGCACAGCCTTTCTCCATCCTCTTTGGAACCTCCCTTCAGGAAGTTGAAGGCTGCTATCAAATCCCCCCTCACTCTTCTCTTCTGCAGACTAAACAAACCGAAATACTTCAGTCTCTCCTCATAAGTCATGTGCTCTATCCCCCTAATCATTTTAGTCGCACACAGCTGGACCCTCTCCAATGTGTCCACATCCTTTCTGTAGTGGGGGGCCCAGAACTGGACACCATACTCCAGATGTGGCCTCACCAGAGCAGAATAAAGGGGAATAATCACTTTTCTAGATCTGCTGTCCATGCTCCTCCCAATGCAACCTAATGTGTCATTAGCCTTCTTGGCTACAAGGGCACACTGTTGACTCCTATCCAGCTTCCCACCCACTGTAATTCCCAGATCCTTGTCTGCAGAAATTTTTTAAGACACTGATATCAGATCATGACGTCTGTCACAACAGATACATTAGGAGAATGCCCTGTTCTTTTTGTCAAATAAATAGGTTTGCTTTAAAAACTGAAACAGAGAGAGAGAATGCTATCTTAAAAAGATTTTGGACCACACATAGTTGGATCACATAAATTATCAAGTGAGGAGATGGAAACATTTTTAAGTGTTAGAGGCTAATTCTTAAACACAATCGTTCTTTTTCATAAGATGCTTTTCTCCAGAATGAACCAGATGTAGAAGTTCTAGAAACTCTTATGGAAGTAGTGCTAATGGAACAGCTCCATTGACTTCACCAGGGCAACATAATGAATTGCACAATCAAGTTGAGGGTTTAGGCTCTGAATGCCATATAGTTACACTCACAAACTGTGAGTTTCTGCTATGTGGTAGATGAATGCAAAAAAGGCTGCAAATCCAACTAAAAGCCTGGGATTGTTGTGTGTGAGTTTTTTCCTGAATTTTTTTTTTTTAAATACATCAACTCAGACATTGGAGAGAGCAAATAAAAGTGTTTTTTACATCTGATAGAAAGCCAGTGCCGTATTTTATATCATGTGCTTATGGGTAATCTTTCATATTCCTCAAATAGATCAAAAAGTGTGGGCCCCATCCTGCATTGACTGAACTT